AAACTCATGCTTCTTTCTAGGAATAAATATCAATTTCCTTTAGTCTCTGATATACTTTTATACAAAATGCTCAGCACACAAAGTTCTTAAAACGCATGAAAGCAAAAATAGTCAAGAACATAAACAGTTGATAGAAAATCTAGAACCAGGGGGAGTACAGAGGACGTATGGCAGAAGGAGGGAGGGCATGAGGCAGGATCTCACCTAATGTGAACATTGAAAGGGTGTATAACATGCCCCCTGGGTGAGCAGCTCTTCTACAAATGGAACTTTACCCTGGAAATGAGAACAATGTAACCTAAATATTATACCCTCATTAATTTAAATATAGTTTACCAAAAAAAAGGAAACCTACAGCCATACATGGCAATGCATGCCAGTATTCTCAGCTACCTGGGAGGCTGAGGCAGGAGGATAGCTTAAGCCCAGTTCAAGGCCTGCCTGGACAACATAGCAAGACCGTGTATCTCTTTAAAAGGAAGAAAAAGTGATGACCCAGATATTATTACTAGTCAGGGACTTTAAGATAACTTTGATGGAAAAGGTAGACAGCATGTGTCAAGATATGGGAGATTTTAACAGAGACATGGAAATCATTTTTGTTTTGGGGGGGTTTTTTTGTTTTTGTTTTTGTTTTTGTTTTTTTGAGATAGAGCCTGAAGCTGTCACCCTTGGTAGACTGCCGTGACATCACAGCTCACAGCAACCTCTGACTCCTGGAGAATCAAGCGATTCTCCTGCCTCAGCCTCTCAGGTAGCTGGGACTACAGGTGCCTGGCTGTTTTTGGTTGCAGCCATCATTGTTGTTTGGTGGGCCTGGGCTCGATTCAAACCCACCAGCTCAGGTGTATGTGGCTGGCACCTTAGCCACTTGAGCCACAGGCACCAAACCAGAAATTGTTTTTTTAAAAAGAACCAAATGGAAATGTTAGAAATAAAAATATATCAGAAATGAAGATCCTTTAGATTGGCTTAGCAGAAAATACATAACCAGCCTTGGTCAAATTTGTGAGAGCAGTCTGTATTGGGAAATCATCATTCCTTATGACTGATATTTACCTTGATAAAGACACAACAGTCACTGTAATTATAAGCCCACAAATAGTTTTTTGTTTTGGGGGGGGGCGGGTTTGAGCCCGCTACTTCCGGTATATGGGGCTGGTGCCCTACTTTGAGCCACAGGTGCCGCCCCCCACAAACATTTCTTTTGATAAAGAATCTTTTTCATAGGTTCATAAGGTCACATAGTCTCAAGTATTTCCCTGATAGTTTTTTATTTTTTTGAGACAGAGTTTCACTATGTCATCCTCAGTAGAGTGCTGTGTTGTCATAGTTCACAGCAACTTCAAACTCTTGGGCTTATGTGATTCTCTTGCCTCGGCCTCCCAAGTAGCTGGGACTACAGGCACGCGCCTTAACACCCGGCTATTTTTTGGTTGTAGTTGTCATTATTGTTTGGCAGGTCCAGGCTGAGTTCAAACCCACCAGCTCCAGTGTATGTGGCTGGTGCCCTAGCTGTTAAACTACAGGCACCAAGCCACCCTGATAGTTTCTTGATAGAAAAAAGAAAGAAAGTGGCAGTTCTATAAATTCGTACATCTTGTTTGGTCAGTTGGTATGGCAGTTATATCATTATCATCTTCTATTCAAGAATAGTCTCAACCTTGCATTGAACGTATGATCATAAACATGATTTTCACTTAATAAAGACTAGGTTTCTAGCGTAACTAGTTTCTTTTTTATTTTTTTAATTTATTGTTGGGGATTCATTGAGGGTACAAGAAACCAGGTTTCACTGATTGCATTTGTTAGGTAAAGTCCCTCTTACAATCGTGTCTTGCCCCTGAAAGGTGTGGCACACACCAACACCCCACCTTCCTTCCTCCTTCCCTTTCTCTGCTAATCCCTTCCCCACTCCTCCCTCCTTCCTCTCTCTGCTCACCCCCTCCCCTTATCATTAATTGTCCTCATATCAAAATTGAGTACATAGGATTCATGCTTCTCCATTCTTGTGATGCTTTACTAAGAATAATGTGTTCCACTTCCATCCA